TTTCCAGTAATAATTTTTTTTCCAGTTTGGTAAGCTATAATAACCCTGCTTATAACAAGATATTTTTGTCAGATATTTTTTCTTCTTTTAAGCATAAACTCACTTTATTTTGACACGTTTCCCAGAAATGTGTCTTAATGAGGTTTTAAATCTCTCACCTGTTTAAGCAAAGACAAGATCATCTTCAAAAAGATCTTGTTTTCTGGGTAACTGATCAAAATGAAGTGAGCTTATGTTTCAATGAGAAAAAAAAAATCTGCCAATGAAATCAGAAAAATAAACTCATTTTCCCTCTGAATTACATTTTTTATGACTCCACTACCAGATATTTTTGTTCTTGTTTTAATCATAAACTTCATTTTGACCTTCATTTTCATTTTCAGATGTCTTTTTGCATCTCCAGTAAATGTATCTTGATTTAAGGATGTTTAGATATTTCTACCAGAAAACAAGACACAAATACTGAGGAAGAACATCACTTTTTGCAGTGATCCATCAAAAGTATTACTGCACATGTCATTAGGTGCAAAACTAGGAAAAATACTGCAGCTTTAAAGATCAAGACAACCTTGCTTTTCTTAAACAGCAATTTTTATTACATGAGGAATGCGTGATTGGATTTGAGTTGAAGAAATACTGACGGCATGTGATTCTCACCTCTCTGACATGATCCACCAGACGTGTGAGTCTTTCTACCAGATGAGTGACGAATATCACATCCATCACGTCTCCAAACAGCGCCGCCCTGCTGGTGAGAGACGAGAGCTGCAGCGCCAGCATCAGAGCGCTGGAGACGTTCACCGACATCTGAGAGAAAACCAGAAGATCAGAATCATTTCAGCATATTCACTGACATCAGTGTGTCTCTACATTACGGTTCAGAATTTGGGGTCAGTACAATTGTTTTTTTTTTAAAGAAATTAATACTTTTATTAATCAAGGATGCATTCACTTGATCAAAAGTGTCAGTAAAGACATTTATAATGTTACAAAAGATTTCTATTGCAAATAAATGCTGTTCTTCTGAACTTTCTATTCATCTGTGAATACTGAAAAAATAAAATGCATCAGTTTCAACAAAAATATTGTGCAGCACAACTGTTTTCAACATTGATAATAATCAGAAATGTTTCTAATAATCAGCATATTAGAATGATTTCTGACTAATCAGAAGCAGAAACCCACACAAGATTCAGCACAAATAAAGACATCTTAGACACAAGCAGCACCTCAGATTCATTCCTCACAAGTACATTAACTATTCTATAACTCTAATGCATTCGAAAATTCTATCAGATTTTCTCCATTAAGAGAATTCATTTTATAATCTCACACTTATATTTTGCACACCCTGTTTTCACGGAGTTCAAATTAATTAATTATGTTTATTACATTATTAAAGTAATTAAATAATTAATTAATTTATATTTATTTATATTATTTTAATTATAATGTATTAAATTAATACTATTATATTTAATAATATATAAAATTATTAAATTATTACATTTATCTATGCAACCTAAATACACAGTAAAAGTAGCATTTAAACACATATTTCACTCAGAAACTGCTAGTAAAAATTAAACATGAAATTTTGGCAAACAAAGACTGAAACTGTATTTTCTTGGAAAATGTACTTCAAAAATATTTATTTACCTTGAAAAAATATATAATTTTTACTGTGCATATATATATATATATATATATATGTATGCACAGTAAAAATGTTGATGGAATAGCCTATATCAAATCTTGATTCATAATGATTTAATAATGTTTGATTTTTATATATACAGTATTGTTTTTTGTTTCTCTATTAGAAATGGACTCATTTGCATGGTTGCTTTCCATGAGCTTCATTTCCCAGTGAAAACACGTACTCATAAAATGTAAACCTTGAATGCACAGTCAATAAAACGTGAATAAGAGCCTCTTCCAAATGAGTGCAAATGTTTGCATACTTAGCATGTAGTGTGTCTGGCCTGAAGGTCACATACGGCAGCATGAGTTATGTAATTAATACCAATTTCCCCAAAGCGAGCGAGTGTGTTTTCTGCTCATTCACACACAAACAGCCTCCTAGAGCTCTTGTGATGGAGTGTGAGCGTCCGCCGGTGTTATTAAAATGCTAAACGTGTTGACTGAACATGTGCACATAACACTTAAAGCTGGAAATAGCTGATAACAATGTGCAGTGACTCAGATTGCATCTAAATGACAGAGTAGCAGAGGAAGAGACTGAGTCACACATCAGAGCGTGAGATACAGTGCACCACTGCAGTCTACATGAGCGGACATCACTTCCAAACATGACAGTCTTACTATAAATATCTCACGGTCTAACTAATAGCACAAATATCTAAACATCCTTAAATCAAGACCAAGTCCATTTCTATCAAATGACAATTATCCAGATCAAGTGTGTGCTTAAAACCACTGAAATACTATTAAAGATGTTATTCATATTTTGAATAATTTGTTTTATTTTAATATTAGTTAAACTGTTTGTCAATTTTTATCAGTTTTTTAAGTATGTTTTTTTTTTCAGATTTAATGAGAAATGCTGAAATAAAATCTTTTTTTAAGTTAAACTAAATTAATAAAAAAAAGCTTAAGTTTTTATGCTTATATTTTATTTTATTTCAAGTAACAAAAATTTTTTTTTTTATTATTGTTTTTGGTTTGGTTAACTATAATAAACCTGTTTATAACAAGATATTTTGCCAGATATTTTTTTTCTCATGTTAAGCATTTTTTAAAATGTCTTTATAGTTTTTATTAATTTTATTTTTATTAATTTTTATTTCAGTTCAAATAAATGCAGCCCTGATGAGCAGAAGAGACTTCTTTAAAAACAAACTTTTGATGAGAAATCATAAAAGTTAAGACAGTTTTCATCATCAATCACAGAAATTAATTATATTTTAAATTATTATACAGTATTCCTGGTTTTACTTCATTTTTGATTCTGTGTTGAGCAGAAGACATTTCAAAAATAACATTTCAAAAAAATTAAACAATCAACCCCAATTTTTTTAACGCTACTGTACATGCACCTTTCTGAAATTTTTAGACAGTTATTTAATTCTAAAAACAACTAGTTAAATCTAGTTGAAACTCATGTTTTAGCTGTTAATATTGTGTTTGATTATTGTATGTCATCAGGATGCTTGAGCGTTGTTATTTTCAAATGTTATTTTCATGTGAATCAAACTATTTCACTAATAAAACTTTTCAGATTCTGTCTGAATCTGTATTTAGCACTGAACAGTTGTGATCGGGTCAGACATAAACAGGTCCAAAGCAACATAAAATCATAATTGTGAAGATTATTGAGAGATTCTGAGGCAATCAAGCATCAAAGAATCCCTCGCTGCGAACGCTTTCAGCCTTTAACACACAAGTGATTGAGCAAATCAAGGTCGAGTTGAACATCTGCTCAGTATAATCTTTATTTGACCCTCTAACACTTGCACTCTCTATTCTATTTCTAATCTATCTACTTGTTTTCTTTTTGTTAAATATATACACACACACACACACTCACACACACACACACACACACACACACA